TTGTTGTTGCGCCCGCGGCTGGGGCTGGGGCTGGGGCCTAGCGAATGTGTGTGGGGAAGGAACGGTGAGTTGTGACTGTACGGCACGACGTGAGGGCTGTGTGCGCACAAGCGCACTCGGTGCGTGGACGTGCTCTCGTGGCAGCATGATGGTGTGTGAGCATTGAAGCACATGGGAGTATGTGCGCTGTAATTACTGTGCATGTGTACTTGTGTATGTTTGTGTTTGATGCACACAAGTGCACCAGCGTCGACGGAACGGAGGCATGAGTGAACTTCACACCACTCACGAATTGTTACCCAACAGCAAAACAAGTGCACAAAGAACTGTCAACGCAGACAAATCGTTTTCTAGGATGTGACGTACCGGTCTTGAAGAGTTTTCGTGCCCGATTGCAGCTTGCCTTTTGATGACGTCATAAGTATGCGCAATCAATTCAGGGGAAGGCATGAGTGTGTGTGTGTGTGTGTGTGTGTGTGTGTGTGTGTGTGTGTGTGTGTGTGGTTTCTTTTGTTTTTTTGTTTGCAAACAAACAACAGTCTTCGCGTTGTATTTCTGTCATCAATCATGAAATCGCAAAGACAATCCAGCGTGAGGTGTGACATGACGTCACATGGGAATTTAGAGTTTACAGACCTTGCTCCCGCTGCTGCTGCTTCTGATGAGACGAAGACATTGCGGCCATGAGCTGGCCCACCGCACTGACACCGAACGCCCGTGAGGAAAAGCTTGGTTGATGGTTCAGCAGCGGCTGCTGTGGGAGTGCTTGCGACGCTGTTGCCGCCATAGATGGCTGTAATTGTTGAGTGAGCGTCGCTTCCTCCTTTGGCTGCTGCTCTGGCTGGTGGGTCTCTTGCGAGCGTATGTGCTGATGCGCGCGGTCCTGTATCTTGCTGCTGCTGTGTGGCCTGACATCGCTAGCACCATCACTCAGCCTCTTCTCCTTCCTGCGTTGCTTGTGCTGATGGCGATGCGTGTGTTTACTCAGCTTGCTCTCGTGCTCTGTGCCCGTGGATGGTGATGGCGAGAAGGAAGAAGAGGAGGACGAGGGTGCTCGTGGTGCCTCAGGCGACTGTTTTGACGGCGGTGCGCTTGTCGACGTGGCGGGTGCCTTGAGCTGTGATGCGCGGCGGCTTCCTTGTGGTGTTGTTGGCACACCTGCTCTGGCGTGGTCATGGTGCGTGGGCGTACCATCAGTTCCTGTGCCGCCAATTTTGTCGTCAGCAATGCCAGTGGTGACAGTGGTACCAGTGGTGCCAACTGCGGTGGCGGTACGGGTGGTGACAGCGACAGCTGTGCTGCGTTTGCGCGGGCTGGTGGAAGGCTGATCAGAGTGGCGCTGGGGTGCTTGCAGCGACAATTGGCCCCGATCATTGCTGGCGCGGCGAGGGCTGCCACTGCCACTTCTGTTTTCGCTATTGTTATTGTTGTTGTTGTCACTGTTGTTGTTGTTGTTGTTGTTAGTGTTGTTGTTGTTGTCGCCGTCGTCGCTGGCACTGTCATTGCCCCCGCCAGTGCCCTGGTGCGTGTGGTACTTGCGCGGCATGTGTGTTTCAGTGCTCTTTTTCAAGACCTGGTCGGGTGGCTCTCGTTCTTCCGCAACCGCTGCACACATGTAGGAGCGTGTGCCCGTGCGTATGAGAGTATGTGCATAAAGGCGTGTGTTTGTGTGCGTGTGTGTGAGAGTGCAACAGTGTGCGTGTGTGTGTGTGTGTATAAGAGAACGTGTTTGTGTTTGTGTTTGTGCGTGTGTGTGTGTGTGTGTGCGTGTTTGTGTTTGTGTGTGTGTGTATGTGTGTGCGTGCGCGTGTGTGTGTGTGTGTGCATTTTCTCATGCGCGTATGCGAACACACTGATGAGGACTGGACAGGGTGTGTGGCATAAAAGGCGTAGGCAGTCGTCACGCACGCCCACCTTACCCACACGCGCACACCCACCTGACACACACACACACACACACACAACCGGCAATGAACGCACTGACGCCAACTAAAATGCCAACGTATGCAACAGGACACCATTGGAACATCGCATGGGCGAATCACTCAGATGGTGAACGCACCCTTGGGTATCGGCTGCTTGGCGTCTGCGCGCTGCATTTTCTTCTTGCACGTTGTGTCCTCTGCCAAAGGCATGGTTGTGGGGTCGCGGAAGTGCACTGCTTTTGCATGTGTGTGTGTGTGTGGGGGGGGGGGGGTAGTGTGGTGGAACGCAGCGCAAGTCGCAGAAGATGGTGAGTCTAAAATGATGGCAGGTGTGTGCTCAAGTGCTGTGGTCATGTCATGCTGAACACGCTCCGATCCGAGCATGGAAACAGCACTCAGCATTGGTGTTGACCCCATTAATTTGAAGGCGCCTCTCACACGCAGACACACACACACATGCACACACGCACAAACGCGCACACCTGCACACTCATACATAAGTACATGCGCACTCGTACATAAGAACATACACTTATTCACACACATCACACACACACACACGTACGAGGAGCTGTTGGTTTCGCTGATGTGAGAAAAGATGGTGGTCTGTTCTCGGTATGCGTGGGTGCATGCGCGTGAAGTCCCCCTTTGAATGAGGTGGCACAGCGCACATATGCAATGCAAGCGGCCCCTAAGAACGGCAGTGCAAAGAACACAGACAGAAGAGACCACAGTGGTCGGGTGGAGTGTGTTCGTGTTTTGCTTGTTGGTGGTTGGTGTGTTGGGTGGGGGGTGCGAGCGCTGATGGGTTGGTTGTCTAGCGATGATGACGACGTTCAGCAGAGCGTATCCATGCAGCGCTGATGTGTGTGTGCTGTGCTGTGCTGAGCTGTGTTGGGTGCTGAAGGAATGGGGTTGTTTTCTTTTCACCAATGCTGATGTGAGTTGGGTTGAGAGCGTGCAACGCTAACTTTCTGCTGCTTTGTGAGCTTCTTTGTGCTGCTGTTGTGACAACTGCTGATGAGCCAGTTGTGTTGTCTGCCTCGGTTGCTGCTTCTTCCGTTCCTCCTTTATTCTCATCAGCATTATTTTGATGAAAGCCTGCGCGCTCGTGTAAGTGTCAACGACAGGGACGATGGCACTTCGGCCTTTGTTTCTGCCGTGCTGTGCCCTGGACTGCTCAGCGCTCTGCGAGCGCTGTTCGGTCTGAATCGGGTCCAACCGTCGCCGCGTCGCGCGCCCGTGCCTGCGAAATGCTTAACTTCTCCCCCCTCACAGCCAGGGACAAATCTGAAGACAGTGGATGCACGCATGCATGCAAGCATGCAAGGTTGCTCCACACCACACGATAAAAAAAAACCAAAACCCCAAAAATCTCAAAAGGCTTCTTGAGACGCAATGGTCTTTTTTGCATTCGGGAAGAGCACTTCCAAACCTTGGCCCCGAACGCAAGCGCAAGCGCATTCTTCGTCACCACGCGAGACGTGTTGGCGTTCCTGTGTTGTCAGATGACGGGACGAGCTTGGTTTTTGTTGTGTGTGTGTGTGTGTTGTGTGTTGTGCGTGTGTTGTGTGTGTGTGTGTGTGTGTGTGTGTGTGTGTGTGTGTGTGTGTGTGTGTGTGGTGTGTGTGTTGTGTTGTGTGTGTGTGTGTGTTGTGTGTGTTGTGTGTGTGTGTGTGTGTTCGGTGTGTTCATGTGGAGGTTGCGTGTCATCTCAGCATCTCATGTGTGTGTGTGCTTGTCTTTTGCCCAGGCCGTGTTACGTAGTCGCTGTTTCGCTCATCAAAACCCACGCGCTGTTCCTTGCAAATGATTGCATTGTTATGAATACGCGGATGAGAAGGCAGAGAAAACGAAAACAGGTGGGCCACGACAACAGTTTCAAGCACCAAGCAAGCAAGGGTGGCGTCCTGATTTGATTGTGTACACAAGATGAGTCAGGGTGAGAGGGAGAATGCAACACAGCGAAATCATAGCTGTCCAAACAAAAGAAAAAGCAAACAAGAAGCGCAAACCCGCATGTCTGTATGCACTGCACAACTCAAGACACACACACACACGCACACTGACAAGAACTACCCACACATACACACACGCACATACACACACACACGCGCGCGCGCGCCCACACGGCAAACACAGCACACCATGGCCAGAGCTACACGTTTGTGGAGGACATGGCGTCAAAATCAAGCCCGCGGCTCAGCTGGTTGATGGGGCTGGCAAGCGGGTCATCCTCTTCAATGCGAAACCCTTTGCGCACCGCACGGTATGGCGTGCGTGGGTTCAGCTCAAAAGGCTCATCCTGGCCCAGCATTGCGGCGTCATCCCTGTCGCCATCACGGGCACCGGTGTTTATGCTGTTGCTGCTGCTGATGGTGTGGCCAGAGACGTCGGCACTCGTCTTCTTGCTACCGCCAACGCTGCTGTTGCTGTTGTTGGGGTCACCCGAGCCACCTTCGGTCTGTGGCAATTTGTCAAACACACGAACATGCATGCAGGGGTTGGTGAGAAAGCGCTGTGCACAAGAGGGCAGGCAGCGGCGTGTGAATGGCGACACACACACACACACACACACACACACACACACACACACACAAACAACGACACACACACTCAACGACACAACACACACACACACGCACACACACACATGCACCTCATTCATACCTGAAGATGGTGCCTCCTGCCCTTCTTCTGCTGGTGTTGTGGTTGCTGGTGTTGCTGTTGTCTTGCTGCTGTTGCTGGGTCTGCCTTTCTGCTTGGCCGCTGGTGACGCGGTTGTTGATGGTGGTGATGGTGATGGGCACGACCTGCACGTGAGGGCGACTGACGCGACGACGTCGACGATGCCGCTGATGACACAGATGAGCCCGGGGCAGGCACCGTGCCCAGCAGGCCTGATTTGGCTGGCGACCCTGTTGCTGAGGATCGACCACCACCACTACCAGTGTGCTTCGCCCCGCTGCGCTGTTGTGCAGCAGTTCCAGTTGCGGTTGCTGGTGCCGGTGCGGTGGCAGGGCCACCCTTAACGGTTGTGGCGTGAGAAGACAGCGCACCGGCTTGCAGGGAGCGACTGCGGCTACCACTGCCAGCAACACTGCCGCTGCTGCTGGCGCTGTTGTTCATGCTTGCATGCAACCGCGCATGCTCCTCCGCCGTCACAAACATGGTGCCACCCGTGTGGCTTCGGCGGGACAGAAAACGGTCGGCGTCATCCACCACAGGCGGCTGTTCATGGTGGCGGTGATGGTGGTGGTGGTGCTGCTGCTGCTGGTGGCGGTGTTGTTGGTGTTGGTGCTGATGGTGTTGATGCTGTCGCTGGTGGTGGCGTTGGCGGTCAGCAGAAATGCTCTTGCCACCACCGCTACCACGGCTGTGGCTGCGGTCGTTGCTGCCGCGGCTTGACGTGCTCGGGCGCTTGAACAGTCGCCCGCCGTCCGTGTCAAACACATACCCTTCCCGCAGCAAGCGCGGCTGCTGCTCATCACTGTCCACGCGTGTAAACGCCGACGATGACGATGACGATGCTGTTGCGGATGCCTGCGACGAGGACACGTCGTCCTTGCCTGGCGGTGCACGAGTGCCATGGACTGCCGCTGTGGAGGTGGGTGCCGATGCCAGGCGTGACCCACTGCCACTGCCACTGCCACTGCCACTGCCACTGCCACTGCTAAGCATGCGGGGTGCGAGCGTGGGCGATGACTTGGAAGGAGGCATCTTACCTGCCTCGCCAGAAATGTGACGGTGCTGATGGTGGTGCTGGTGGTGCTGCTGCTGCTTCATGCCTCCACTGTGCACGTGCTGCTGTCCTGCTGGTGCTGTTGCTGGTGCTGTTGGCGGCATTGACGATGACAACGACGAACCGGCAGTGACACCAGTGTCGCCGGCGGTGGTGGATCCGCCCTGCTGCCGCGCAACACGGAGCTCCTGCTGCAGGTGGGAGTTGGCTGTGATGAGCGCATCGTTCATCTTGCGCTGCTGCAACAGTTCACGCTGAAGTGCATACAGGTCGTCCTCCAAGTCCCGCACCCGCTGCTCCGACCGCAGCAGGCGCGTGCGCAATTCGCTCGCAGACAGACGCGCAACCACCGCTTCACTCGCCGTTGCACTCCTGCCTGGTACGGCTTCAAGGACATCGTCGCCACAAACGCCATCACCGCCAGTCGTGCCGCCTGGCAGTGCCCCACTGTCAGAGTATGCAGTTGTGGTGGCCGTGGCCGCACCACCCAAGTCCACCTCCACGCGTTCTGAAAGCGGAATGGCCTGGCCAGGCTCGGACTTGCTGTGCTCGACGCCGGACACCGCAGCCGATGTGGCCGATGGCAGCCTGGGCCTGCCTGCACGGTGCCGGATGTTTCCGCCAGTGGTGATTGCGTCATCCCCCGCACCGGCAGCACTCGCCGCTTCGCTGTCCGGTGCACTGCGCGCGGAGCCGTGGAATGATTGCGACGACACGCGCCGAGCAAACCGCCCACCGCCACCACTCATGTTGGATGCTGTGCTGCCTGCACCATGTCCTGTCGAGTGCTGGCTGCCACCGCTGTGCATGGACGAGGTGGAAGCGTGCATGGAGCCAGATCGCTGGCGCGGATACCGTCCACTTCCACCTCCACCACCACCGACATTCCCGCTGCTGCTGCTGTTGTTGTTGTTGCTGAAGGAGCCGCCAGCACTGCTGCCACCGCCCACCGTGACCACCGACGCCGAGCGACCAGACCGTGGCGTGTGGTCGAGCACACGCAGCGCCTGCTGGTGGGAGTAGCCCTGCATGCCCTGCACGCTGTGGTCGGAGGTGTTGCGACGGAAGAGCGAGTGCAGAGACGTGGCGCGGCCTTTGTCCATGGACCGGCGGCGCGAGCTGCTTGACCGCCGCTGTTGTCATGGTGGTGGCGGTGATATGTGTGTGTGTGTGTGTTTGTGTGTGTGTGTGTGTGTGTGTGTGTGTGTGTGTGTGTGTGTGTGTGTGTGTGTGTAGTAGTG